CCGGCCGCGGAGCGCCCCCTGCCGGCGGCCGCTTCGCCGTTCCCGGGCGCCCGCCCGCCGCGGAGCGCTCCCCCGGGTCTCGCAGCGGGAGCGGGCCTCCCCTCCGGGGGAGCCGGGCTCCGGGAGCCCCGCCGTCAGCCCTGGCGGCCGCCGCCGCGCGCGCTCCCCTGGGACCTCGAGCCCTTTCGCTCCCATAAGTTGCTCGCACGCATCCCCACTCCCCTTCCAACCCCCCGGTGGCCCAGGTGAGGAAGCTCTTCCCCTGACCTTCCGGTCCCGCCAGTCGCCTCCGAGCTAGGGGCCGGCTTGCGAGCCCCGTGTCCCCGGAGCCTCCCGGGGAGCGGTGTGGCTGAGGGGCCGGCGGGAGGGCCGGGGAGAGCGGCTCTAGGTGCGCGGCCGGGCGGCTAGTCCGCTCGCACGCCGCGGACCCTTTCTGTAAGCGCGTGGCGGGCTCTGTTTTTGGGAGTCACGGTGGCCGAGTGGTTAAGGCGTTGGACTCGAAATCCAATGGGGTTTCCCCGCACAGGTTCGAATCCTGTTCGTGACGGCGGCAATATTTTGTTTTTTTTTTTTCCTCTTCCTGAATAAGTTAAGGGAACTCAAGCCCTCACACGGGTCTTTCTATCTAAATGAGGAAGTGAAAAGGTTGCACCCTGGGCTGGGTTGGCACAGCGTATAAACTGACTTGTGCACCTGTGCTTGCTGCTAGGATTCCAGGGTTCGGCAGCATTTCATGGGACAAGGAAGAATTGTTTTGTTTGGGGATGTGGGTGTTGTGCAATAGTCAAACCTGAAATTTCTAAGGAGGGCATCTTTGGAATTTGTGACCAGAATTCACACCTTGAAGTATGATGACACTTGAGACCCAAGAAATAAGCAACCTGTCATTTGGAGTTTTCTTTTTAAATTTTAGATAGGGCCTCATGTATCCAGGCTGCCCTTGAACTTGTCATGTATCAAAGAATGACCTTGAACTTGAGATCCTCCTGCCCTCTGCCTCTCAAGTGCATGAGGCACACCAGGTTTATGTGGTGCTGGGGACTGAATCCAGGGTTCAAGTGTATGCTATTTAAGTGTTGTGTTGAGCTGTATTCCTTAGCCCTTATTTAAATTTTCCTGAGATTACCTTCTGGTTTCACAATCCTAGGAGGGGCCTAGGGGAATTTTAACTCTGCAGATCCCACGTCTGAGCCAATGCTGGTTAAAATCACTGTCAACCTCTAACTCTCTTACATTACCTCGTTCTTGGTGGACATAGTTTGTTCTTTTATACTTAATTTCTTGCATAGCAAGATCTTCCCCAACGAAGGATCTATGAGAATTCACAGATAATTCTGTGTGTTTTACCATAGCTTCCCACCTTTCTATGCTGGCTCAGGGCCTCCCCAGCATCCCTCCTACCACTCTGGCTAGCCTCCATCACTCAGATCTTCTGCATTCCTTAAGCTAGCCCTTTTTAATTCACTCTGGCTAGAACCTGTCACCCTTCCATCACCAGTCAGTGAGTTGCAGGCAAGGGGTCTTTGCTTGCTTGCTGTTGAGACAGTTTCACTGTAGCCCAGGCTGGCCTGCTGTGACTTGGCAATCCTTCTGCCTTGGTGCCTGGGTGCTGAGATTCCATGATGAGCAACCACACCCACTTTTCAAGGAATCTCTTCTTCCATAAAAACCAAATTCTATTTATTCTACCTTCTAAAATTTTTCAACCAAACCTGTTTCTTCAGGGACGAGTGAGTAGTGGGCCCACCACTTGTGAAAGCCTTTATTTGAAAAGTTGTGGTAGGTTGGGTAGAGTGGTATATGTCTTTAATCCCAGCACTTGGGAGGTAGAGGCAGGTGGATCTCTGGGAGTTCAAGGCTGACTTGTCTATTTATGAGGAGTGTTTTCAGGACAACTAGGGCTACTTAGTGAGACCCAGTCTACCTGTGATTTCATATATGTTTGGAGGTACTGAGGCAGCCAAATACCCACGAATCCCAAACACCACCATGGTGGCGGTGTGTGTGGCAGGACCTGACTCTTCTCTTAGCCACGCTAATTGAGATTTTACTAAATTCCATCATGTGGTTATCTGGCCTTGCTTGGGCTGTTCTGTGGTTGAGCATTCTCATCCTTACCTCCTCCGGCTCCATGTTGGCTGGATATGATGTCACGTGTATACAACGCCAGCACTTGGGAAGCTGCAGTAGGAATCTTGCTATTAGTTCAAGGTGAGGCTGAGCTACATCAGCACCCTCTCTGAGAAGGGACTGGAGATGCAGCTCAGTTGCTAGAGTACTAGTATATATGAAACCGTGGGCTCAGCCCCTAGATTTGGATGTGATGGTTGCATGCCTGTAACCCCAGCACTCGAGAGGTGGAAGGAAGATTGGACATTCAAAATCATTGTGTTACAAGCAAGTTTGAGGCTATCCTGTGCTACGTGAGACCCTGGCTCAAAATCAAAACAAAACCAAAACCAAAACCAAAACCAAAACCTGGAGGCTGGGGAGATGGCTCGGAGGTTAAGAACTCTACTCAGATACTAAGACTCATAACCAAACCTTCGGCAGAGTGCAGGGAATCATATGAGGAAGGGGGAGTTTGTATGACGTGGAGAGGATAGGAGCTCCACAAGGACCAAATATATTTGGGCACAGGGGTCTTTTCTTTTCTCCCAAACTTGCTTTTGGTCATGGTGTTTCATCACAGCAATAGAAACACTAAGACAAAGATGTTATGTAAGATTACAGAAGAAGCTGGAATGAGCAGGATTGTAAACCTCAGTGAAGGTAAATCAGGGAAGATGAGCAAAACCAAATATCAAAGGGAGAAGTAAAGAACCAAGTGGGACAGGGAGAGGTTAGCTCGTGCAACAGGAAGTCAAAAGGACAGATAAAGCCTGCTGGGGTAGAAGACGGTTAGGAGAGAAAGGAGCTAAAGAAAGCCTAGGATGGTAAAATTGTTATTTTAAGTTGCCTTTTGAGGCAGGCTCTCATTACAGTCCAGATTGGCTTTGAATTCAGTGTGTAGCCCAAGTTGACCTCTAACTCATAATCCTTCTGCCTCAGCCTTGTCCTTGCTGGGACCACAAGGATGTGTCAGTATGCCTAACTAGAAATGCAAAGTCTCTGTCAGACACAGAGATACAGGTGCCTCACACCTAAAAGTTCTGAGTGAAGCACCTGAAAGTGGAAGGAATGATATTCAAGTACTTGTACTCCAAGCTTGTCTGATACTCCATCAAGGATCATGTATGGATATAATCTAGAACCTCTGCTCGATGTAGCCTGTGGTTTCTCAGTAACCAATTGGTTTCCCCTAGTAAGGGGAACAGGGACTATTTCTGACATGAACTCAATGGCAGGCTCTTTGACCTCTCCACCCCACCAAGGGAGGAGCTGTCCTGCTAGACCACAGAGGAGGACTTTGCAGCCAGTCCTGAAGATACCTGATGAAAAACAGGGTCAGATGAAAGGGGAAGAAGGTCCTCCCCTATCAGTGGACTTGAAAAGGGGCAGGGAGGAGATGAGAGAAGGAGGGTGGGATTGGAAGGGAATGAGGGAGCGGGATATTGTTTTCAAAAAATGTAAAACAAAAAAACAAAAACAAAAACACTGCTCAGGTCCTGAGTTCAATTCCCAGCAACCACATGGTGCCTCACAACCATATCTAATGAAATCTGGTGTTCTCTTCTGGCCTTCAGGTGTACATGCAGGCAGAACACTGTATACATAATAAATCTAAAAAAACCAAAAACCTTTCTAATGTGCTCATCCCCCACTCAGATCTTTGTGTGCTTTGAATGTTGTGTGTGCATGAAAACTAGAATCTAAGTGTTGGGAGAGTCTTGGTGGGTTGGTGTTTTTGCTATCAGCATCCTTTCAACAAAGCTTTAAACACAGTTGTGAGCAAAGATGTTTCATAGCAACTAAAGGATTCCTTTTCTGCTTTCTGATTAAACTATCTGGAAAACAAAACCAATTGACCAGCAGAGGGCAGTCAATAACCATGTTGTGAAGGGAAGAAGCGCCCCACCCCCACCCCCAGTTTATAAAATGGAGGGTGCAAGATGCGGGCAACCCAGACAAGCTTGGAGTACAAGTACCTGAATATCATTCCTTCCACTTTCAGGTGCTTCACTCAGAACTTTTAGGTGTGAGGCACCTGTATCTCTGTGTCTGACAGACTTTGCATTTCTAGTTAGGCATACTGGCACATCCTTGTGGTCCCAGCAAGGACAAGGCTGAGGCAGGATTATGAGTTAGAAGTCAACTTGGGCTACACACTGAATTCAAGGCCAATCTGGACTGTAATGAGAGCCTGCCTCAAAAGGCAACTTAAAATAACAATTTTACCATCCTAGGCTTTCTTTAGCTCCTTTCTCTCCTAACCGTCTTCTACCCCAGCAGGCTTTATCTGTCCTTTTGACTTCCTGTTGCATGAGCTAACCTCTCCCTGTCCCACTTGGTTCTTTACTTCTCCCTTTGGTATTTGGTTTTGCTCATCTTCCCTGATTTACCTTCACTGAGGTTTACAATCCTGCTCATTCCAGCTTCTTCTGTAATCTTACATAACATCTTTGTCTTAGTGTTTCTATTGCTGTGATGAAACACCATGACCAAAAGCAAGTTTGGGAGAAAAGAGTTTATTTTGCTTACATTTCCACACCATAGTCCATCACTGAAGGAAGTCAAGAAAGGATCAAACAGGGCAGGAACCTGGAGGCAGGAGCTGGTGCAGAAGCCATGGAGGGTGGTGCTTGCTCAGCACCATAGGACCACCAGCCCAGGGATGGCACTACCTACAATCTTCTGGGCCTTTCCCCATGAATCACTAATTAAGAAAATGCCCTGTGTACTTTCCTATAGCCCTGTCTTATGGAGGCATGTTCTCATTTAAGGCTCCCTTCTCTAAGATGACCCTAGCCTGTGTCAAGTTGACATAAAATTAGCCAGTACCACCTTGAACTTTTCCTGTTCCACTGGGTCAGTACTTCATGGATTCAGAACAAAGCCACAAACTTTCATATGACAACTCCAAATCAGAGTATAATAAGAATTTTCTTATTCTATACAGGATCTTTTGTTTGAGATAGTGTTTCCCTGTGTAATCATGGCTGCCCTGGAACTTGCTCTGTAGCCCAGGTTGGCTAGATAGTATCTTACTATGTAGCCCAGCTTAGTCAAAGTTATTTTCTTCCCTCAGCCTCTTAAGTGTTGAAATTATAGGTAAGCGTCACCATTCCTTGTTTTTTTAAGATGGTGTTTTTTTTTTTTTTGTAGCCCTGGCTGTCCTGGAATTCCCTATGTAGACCATGCTGGCCATGAACTCAGAAAACCACCTGCCTCTGTCTCCTGAGTGCTGTTATTTAAGATGAGAACTACCATGCCCATCCTGTTTGGGTTTATAAGGTCTTACTATATAGTCCAGCAGGCTGGCCTAGAACTTGCTGGGCAGTCTAAGATGGCCGCCAACTCCTGCCCCTTCTTGGTGCTGGGGATGGAACCTGGGACCCTGGCATGAAAGTCTATGCACATCCCTCCTTAGCATGGACTTGAATTCTCAGTCTTCTTGCTTCAGCCTTCTACAACTTGGGAGTGCAGAGGTGTAACTTCCACATTCAGGGAACAAAGAAGCGACAAATATGCATGGGCAGAAACACAGAAATGTTGGGATTAAGTGGACAGGGCTTTGTGATGGGAGCTCAGTGTAGTTATATTCAGTTGAACAGAGAAGTGAGACAAAGGGGATTGCACACATCTGAACAAGGAGCCAGGATTATTATACACAGCTGAACAAGGAGGTAGGTTTAGTTAATCTCAGTAGAAGTCACTGTAGAGGAACACTCCTCAGGTCATAAATACCATGGAGGAGGGAGAAAGCTGTGGTGGATAGTTTCCACTCACTATCAACTTCTGCCCATGGATAAGAGGAAGACTTTGCTACCCTTCTGAGCCTCATGGTGTGGGAAGCTTTGCATTTCCCATGGGTCTGAGGTTATGGTACTTGATATGTGCCTGTGGAGGTGAGGGGACAGCTTATTATTAATTACAGCTTATTCACTTTGTATGCCAGCTATAGCCCCCTTTTCCCTCTTCCTCTCCCCGAGGGGCCAGAGTCCTTCCTACATGTGGACTCAAGGATCAAACTCACATCTCCAGGATTGGTGGCACTTATCTTTTACTTGTTGAACCATTCCTGCTACCTAGATACCTTTTGGCCTGGCTAAATTTTTAAATTTTTTATATTTACTGTGAACCATAAATACATTTGTATATATAGATATTAGCACACATAAAATTGTACTATATTTACATTTCCTCCTTTTTTTTTCCTGCCAATCCATCCCATGTTATCCCCTAAATTCATGGCTTTTTTTTTTTTTTTTTTTTTTTTTTTGAGGCATGGTTTCACTATGCAACCCAAGCTGGCCTTGAATCTACAGAAATCCATTGGCCTCTGTCTCCTGAGAGCTGGGATTAAAGATGTGCACCACTGTGCCCAACCCTCCTCCCCCTCTCTCTCACACACATACAAGTAACTATAACCCGCTGAGTCCATTTAGTGTTGTTCATTGTATTTTTGTTGGGCTGACCATTGACTGGTTAACCTTCGAGGTTCAGCCCTGAAAAGGTAACTTCTTCCTCTTTCAGCAGTCATTGCTCGGAGTTTCCCATCAGAGGTGGGCCTCCATCAATGTCCCTCATCCACACTGGCATGTCAACTGTTCAGGTCTTGTTTGGCCACATTGTTTAAGTCTCATGGGGGCAGCTCCCTGTCATACAGAAAACAATCTCAAAGCAAATGTCCTCATCCTCTGACTCTTCTAATCTCCCTGCCCTCTCTTCCTCAATATTCCCTGAACATGTAGGAGTTGTCCTGTAGATGTATCAGTTGGCTAGATGTTCTGCAGCTAGTTGTTTCTCTGTATTTTCATGAATTGTGGGTTTCTGTAATGGTCTCAAATCTGCTTCAAAATGAAGCTTCTCTTTTGAGGGTTAAGTATTTAGGATGCAACTGGAAATTATACTGGTTGAAGAAAATGGCCTCTGTTGTTTATCCTAAAAGACTTGAGCTAAGCCTACCTTAACCAACAGTTAGGAAGGATATCACATACACACACACACCCAGGAACATCTCACACCTGGTTTACAAGCTACTTGAAAATGAGTCAACTGTACCAAGTCTTCTTGTTCTAGTCACCCACCCCTGTAGTTGACCTTGGTACATTCATTGTCCTGTCTTTTTTTTTAGTTAGGGTTTCTCTTTGTAGCCTTGGCTGTCCTGAACTCGCTTGGTAGACCCAACTGCCTCTGCCTCCCCGAGTGCTGGGATTATGGCATGCACCACCATGACTAGCTTTTGTGTTTTCTCCATGTGTAGCTTCAGAACTGAGTATGTAGCAGACATCATTTTCATTTGTGTGTCTGTGTGCATGTATACTACATGTAAGCAGGAGCCCAAGGACGCCATAGTAGTTCTCCTGGGCTGGTTACAGGTAGCTGTGAACTGCTTGGCATGGGGTGCTTAATTCAGGGTCCCTTCTCACCTCTACAAAAATCAAATTCAGGCCTGATGTCATCAGGCACCATCACCTTCTCAACAACCATCCTAGCCCTATCTTTTTGGTTTTGAGACAGGCTCTTATTACATGGCCTGGAGCTCACTATGTAGACCAGGCAAGCTTTGAACTCATAAGAGACCCACTTGCTCTGCCTTCCCAGCACTGGGATTAAAGGGATACACCATCATGCTCAGCTTATGCTTTACTTATTTATTTTGGATTTTCAAATCAGTATTTCTGTTATAGCCTTGGCTATACAGGGTTTCTTTGTGTGGCCTTCACTGTCCTAGAACTCACTCTGTAGACCAGGCTGGCCTTCAACTCAGAGATCCACCTGCCTCTTGAATGCTGGGATTACAGGGGTGTGCCACCATGTTCAGCTACAAAACTTCGTTTTTAAAATTATCTTTTAGAAATAAAAAATAAAAAATGAGCTAGAGGGGCTAGAGAGATGGCTCAGAGGTTAAAGCACTGGCTGTTCTTCCAAAGGTCCTGAGTTCAATTCCCAGCAACCACACGGTGGTTCACAACCATCTATAATGAGATCGTGTCCGCAGATACACACACAGGCAGAATGCAGTATAATAAATAAATAAATCTAAAAATGAGCTAGAGATGCCTTGGGGGTTAAGAACACTTGTTGCTTTTGCAGAGGACCTAGGTTTGACTCCTAGCACCTACACAGTGGCTCACAACCATCCATAACTCCAGTTCCAAGGAATCTGATTCCCTCTTTTGCCCTCCACATGCATCAGGCATACATGGACAGTACATAAAGGGAAAAACACTCAAAAATAAATATTGAAAATTAAAACATAGCCAGGTACCCACAGTGCTATACACCTGTAATCCCAGCAAAACCAAAACACCAACCAAGATTTAATATGTGTGTCTGTACATGAGTCCCCACAGAGCCCAGAAGAGGGTATTTGATCCTGTGACACTGTTGTTGCAGGTGTTTGTGAACTGCCTGATTCAGGTGGTGGGACCTTAACTCCAGTCTTCCAAAAGATTATGATCTGGGTGTGGTGGTACACACCTATAATCCCAGCACTCAGGGAGACAGAGGCAGGTGAGCTGAGGCCAGCCTGGTCTATAAAAGTGAGAGCAGGACAGCCAAGGCTACAGAGAAATCCTGTCTGGGGTTGGGGGAGAGAACATTATGAGCTCTCTCTCCAGCTCTCACACAGCAATGAGTCCAGTATATGTTATGAGACCTGTGGTGGCTATTCTTGGTTGTCAACTTGACTAAATCTGTAATTAACCAAAACTAAAAAGGCTGGGAGAGATTTTTAAAATTAATCTGAAGTAGACTTACCTTTGATCCATATCTTTTAAGGTAGAAAAGATTCACTTTTAATCTGGGCCATGTCTCCTGGTGGCAGCCTAAATAGAGGACATGAAGGAGGGAGCTTTCTCCTTGCCTGCTTGCCCACATTCTCATTGGCAAGACCATGACCTCACTGGCATTAGAGCCTACTTCTTCAGGATTCCAGCATATATAGAAGACCTGCTGAGACATTTGTCTCATGAGCTAAATAATTGCTGGATTCTTTGACCTCCCACTGGTAGAAAGCCATTGCTGGACTTGCTGGACCACAGCCTGTAAGCCACTCAAATAAATCCCCTTTATATCTACATGTATGTATCTATCTATACATCTACCTTTCCATTCTATAAACTGAACCCTAATAAAAAACCCTTGCCTCAGAAAAAAAAAGGCATACGGGATCTATGTGGTGGCATACCCCAGCACTTGGATGACAGATATAGGCCATCTCCATGCATTTAAGGCTAGCCTAGTCTGCACTAGTTTCAGGCAAGTCAGCCAAGGCTATACAGTGATATTTTTTCTAGCCTAAAACAAACAAACAAACAAGGTACCATTGATGACAATAAAAATGAACAGCTAGGAATGGAGTGCTCAATGGTTAGAGCAATGGCTCCTCTTCCAAAGGGTGCATAGCCAGTCAATTCCCAGCACGCACATGGTAGCTCACAACCCTTCATAATTCCAGACCTAGAGGACCTCTTCCGCATTCCTTACACAACCGGCATGCTTGTGGTACACAAACATATGCAGGCAAAACACTTATATGCATTAAAAAAAAAAAGGAACTGCTTCAAAGGAAAAAAAAGGTATTTCTCTGACAGAGGCACATATCGCTTCTCAGGGTTCCACATTGTGACTGAATCTCAGTAGGAAGCTCAGGCTGGCCTGAAACTCACCATGTAGAACAAATGACCTCTGACACAATCCTCCTGCTTCAATCTCCAGAGTGCTAGGACTACACGTGTGCATCTCAGCAGCTGGTTCAAGACTGTCCGGTCAGGTTCTGTGCTTGAAGAGTGACGGCTCAGAGAGTTCAATGCCCTTTCAGCCAACTGAAGTATCCAGAGAGTCCATTAGATTTACATCAGTGCGTGATAAAGGGCCAACAAGTTCAGTGGACAGCTGTGGGCTGTAGAGACAGCTCAGTAGAAGAGCACTGGCTGTCTTGCATAGCACCTAGGTTCAAACAAGCATGGTAGTTCATAACCTTCTGTGACCCAGTTGTAGGAGACCCAATGCCCTTTTCTGGACTCTATGGGCAATAGCCATGCATGTAGTGTACAGACATACATGCAGGCAAAACACTATGCGAATAAATCATCCTTAAACACACACACACAGGTGGCTTTTCACAGTAGCGATAAGCCAATAACAAGAAGTGTTTAGCAAGTGTGTGAGCAGGGTTTCCGGTTTGATTACTCTGCCTTAGTCCTTTAACAGCTCTGGCTGTCCTGGAACTCATAATGTAGAGGAGGCTGGCCCCAAATTCACTGAGATCTGCCTACTGGGATTAAGGGCATGCTCCATACACCTGGCTGCCTTATTCCTTTGAGACACTGTCTGTCACTGAACTTGAGGACAGGGCCCAGCAAGCACTAGTGAGCCTCCCCCCTCTGCCCACCCACACAGTGAGGGAGTTTTTTATGCAGGGGCTGGGAATTTGAACTCAGATCCTCATGAATGTGGAGCAAGAGTTCTTACCCCCAGAGCCACCTCCCTTATCAAAGACTTTTGTTTGAAGATAGTAGGAGAGTTGTTTCAGGTTTCCTCCCTACCCCCAGGGGCAGAAGCTTCCCCACTTGCAGTAGGCTTCTAGATCAAGAGTACTTGCTAGAAAGAGGTGATAGAAAGTCTTCTGAAATGTCCCCCAAATGCAGTAACATTTAGGAAAACAATTCAGGCTAACAGCCACCTATGAAGAGAATACAGTTAAGCTCACTAGAGGCCGGAGAGAACAGAACACAAAGTATGTAAAGAGTATACAATGCCCAGGCAGACGGTCTCCTAAGGCAGAGGTCTAAGGTATATCACCAAGCAAGGAAGACAGGTAATGGAAATGAAAGGTCAGATCGAGGAAGAATCCTCTGCAAGGGAGTGACTAAGCACTTAGGAGTTGAGGGAACGATTTATTAGTGCAGTGAACACCATGGACAGCACATGCAGCACAGAGAACTGCAGACACCTCTGCAAAGGATGGGAAGCTTCAGTCTCCTCTCTCATCTGAGAGGAAGGATGGAACAGTGTAGGCCTGGGCAAAGGAGGCAGAGGCAAAGAGGAATGAAGAAATGCAATAACCAGACCATGTATAGCAGCCTTTTAAAATTCCTGAGCTCAGTGCCCTGGAGCTGGAACATCCACCTTTTCCTTATGGTCCTAACTAATCCCAAAGGAGCCATGACTGAACTAGCCAGACCAACCTGGAATGGAGCTCCCAGAGAAGCCACAGTTCTGTGACGGGGAGCTACGATCCCTCCAACTCCACAGCCACCTGTGCTTTTAAAAGAATCACAACTACGATCCCTCCAACCCCACAGCCACCTGTGCTTTTAAAAGAATCACAACTACTATTCCTCTTGCTCACTTTACTGGCCGCTCCAGGGAGCCCAGCAATGACCTGGGTCAGCCTAAAATGGACCCCAAGTCCTTAGGTAGACCTTAGTCAGGCTGTGTATTCGGCCTGCTTGGAGACAAATCTAATTTGCCTGGTGAAGGTTAGAACCCACATAAACAGAAATTTCCTCAGTAAACGGGAGAAGAGTTGCCTTCAAATGTATATGACACTTAATTCTAGGGCTTCACAGGAGATTCCGAGGGGGTGGGAACAAACTTCTTCATGGGGCACAGGCCCCAATGCTGGACTGCTACAGCCAAAGTACCTGTCTCAAATAGGGTGATGGAGGGGAAGGTCAGAGCAGACATCAAAGATTGTGCTGAAAAGAAAACATATAAAACAGATCCTACCCAGCCCCACCCTACCCAGAATCCCCACAATATGAACAGCAGAAAAAAAGGTTTTAAGTTTTGTTGATTTTTTTTTTCTTTTCTTCTTTCTTAAGAAAAAAAAAAAAAAAAGTAAATAAATTAAATTGCCAGTAATGTGGCTGTGCTGGAGAGAAGGGTAGGCACAACCAAGCCATTCTATGAAAACAAGACCAGGTAACAGACGACGGGATTTGTGACTCAGCAAATAGAAACAAACACCACCGAAGGAAATCAAACTAAGTACAATCAGAGGCTGAAGAGGGGCCTAAGGAGGCCCTACAGACATACCACAGAGGCAGTGTCCACCCTAGATCCGCAGACAGCAGCTTCCCGCTGTGTGTGAGCCTCAATGCTCTCAACCCCAGCCCAGCCCTGCCTTCCCCTAATTAGGAAAAAGTATAGGAAAGAGTAGTTCAAGTGGACATCTCAGCATCCCACCCCATGCTCCCAGCAAGGCCTGCACCTTCAAGGTGGGCTGGAGAGGGGTGCGCTCCACAAAGGTCTTCCCCAAGGGCTGTCAGTGATGACCATCAAGACCCTGGCGCCTCACTAGTCACTGGGAGTCTGGTCACACCCTTAGCTCTTCTGCTGGGTGCCTGCTCCTCAGAACTGCTCTCTCAATGCTGCATGGAGTAAGCAAGCCTGCCTGCTCGGACTCCCTAGTTTTGGAAGAGAGGGATAATTAGATATTCCTCATGCCACCCTGATCCTCTAGGGAAAACAGTTTCTTTGTGCTTTCTGAAAATATTTGGGAACCAGGGATCTTAGGCAGGAAAATACAGGAAGTGAGGATTTTCCCACCCAGACTGAAAATGCACAGACATTGTGGGGGAGGAATATAGGCAAAAGGCAGGAATTTGGGCTCCCCAACCCCCCTCCCGGCCCATGCTGAAAGGCTGAACAAAGTGCCCTAAGGTCCTTCGTGCCAGAAAAGCAGGGAGCATGTGGCTCAATTACTAGCCGTGGTGTAAGGACAGTGGAGAACTCAGGGTTCAGCTGCCAGAGCGTGGCTTTTTCCAAGTCTCCCTCTTCCTGATAAGCCAGTTTTGCTCTCAGATCTCCTCCACACCATGCGCAAAGATCATGACGAGCCCTGGCTCCTGCACCATGTCATCACCCATGTGCTGGTTGTCACAGGCCATCACTACCACAGCCTGCTTGCCAGGGATGCGCTTGGCCACATAGTTCTCATAGTAGCGCCGGTTCATCTGTCTCGTCTCTAGTGTTGCCAGACCCTGGGGCCAGCTACGTTCGTGGGCATTTTCAATCAGCTCATTGACAATAGAGGCTGGGCAGCCACTCTCCACCAAGGAGCGCTTGATGACAGCCTGGAGCACAGCGTCAGGGGTGGAGATCATCCCTCCCCAGCGGGTCACTCTTGCGGGCTGCAGGGAGTTCACCCACCTGTGGAAAGGGGTTGGAAGATCATGCCAGCTCTTTCTGCTTTGGCTTTTTCTCCTAATAGAAATGACCACCCACTCTATAGGCCACTCAACTTTCTTTCTTTACAACATTGGTCCGGAAAACCCAAATCTTTCCCTAGTTGGGTCTGCATAGGTCACACCACTCACATATTCAATTCCACGAACCTAGACTGTTGTTATTCTTTGAAATCCCAATGCCAGCATAGTGCCTAGCATGCAGCAACTGCCCACTCACACGGTCCTGAAGGAAGAAATGTATCCTCTATACTGTGGCTCTCTCAGGACTCTTTGCTCTCTCTCCTTCTACACTCACATTTGGTCTGTCACATATAGGCAGACCAAACTGAAAGGACCTTAGCCTTCCTTCCCTTATTCACTGGCTTCTGTTTGCTGCATGTCAAATGTACACACTCTGCCCCTGCTCCTCTTCGTGTGAGGTTACCGTTCGGTCCTGAGCATCACAAAGCTCCTAACATGTGGTTTATGCATCATGGTATTCAGCTAATTCTGGAAAAACTGCCCCTCCATCCACCCCAATGAACAACAGATCTGCACTAGAGCTGAGGGGTTTGTTCCTCTTCCTGGCCCTATTCAATCTCTGATTCCACATCCTGAGTGACTCACTCGAGGATCTCGTTGTATTCGATTGTCTCCTCCAGGTTCTGAAGGTTAGGGTTGACACTGCGGATTGCTCGCATATATGCCTTCAGCAGCTGGATGTCCCGCTTCTGTTGGGTGGAAGGAGGACCAGAGAGGACAGTTAAGCCGAAGAGCAGGTGTTGAGAATGAGGCACTTGGGAGGTCTGAGGAACGGTACACTACCAGCTTCCTCAGGAGAACAGGGGAAGGACTTAGCAAAGTGGCTTCCCTTCAGGTGTCTTCAAAGACACCCCACAAGTGTCAGATGCCTGAATGAGTGAATGAGATGAAGGGAAGTGAGCACATCTCCAATTGATCTCTATTAACTGTAGGCACAAGCATCTGCTCGTCTAGGCTACTGAGCAGGACACAAGGCCATGGTGTTCATGTGGTGTTTGTGATGGGCAAGAGATCATTTAGAGGTGCACACAGGCCCCTCACTCTCGGGGACCCACCTGTTCTGCCAGCTGGTGCTTGTGTTCAGCGGATGTCTTCTCCAGCTCTGCTATACGCGTCTGCTGCTGCTGTACCACAGTGCGCAAGTGCTTAATGCAATTATGGTTTGGCAGCTCATCTTTGGGCATCTCCAGGCTGCAGTCCAGAGTGGGACAAGAGCAGGACAGGCTATTCAACAGGACATGAGGGCTGATAGCTTATTCTGTGACAGAAACTGCTGAGTGAGCTTTCTGTACCTCACACTTCTAATCATCTTTTCAGACCTTCTTCTCTTTGCTTTCTTTTTCCAAACATAGCTCTTGCCCTTATACAGCATTTTACCCTCAAGACACAGTGCTGTGGAAGAGCCCACGAAAAAACACTTTGAGACAAGGTCTCACATAGCCCAGTTCGTGCCAAGAATGACTTGGAACGTCTGATCTCTTGCCTCCGCCTCCCGGTGCTGGGGTTGCAGGTGTAATCACCGAGCTGTGGATGTGGTGCTTTATGTACACTAGGAAAGCACTCTGCCAACTGAGCTAGCACAGCCCCCCCCCCTGCACTGACAGTCTTCTGTGCTTTTAAGAGCCAGCTTGGTTCTTAGGACCTGTCCTAAGTGAAGAGGGAAAGTGCTGCACCCTGTCAGCCCACTGTCACAGTCTCCCTGCACACCTACTCCTGGAGTCCTACATCACTGCTCCAGGGTTGAAGCAAACACTTCCCACCTCACACAGATGGAAAATAGGGCACAAGGGAACATGAGAAGTCAGAAACTGGAGCAAGCGGCAGCCCAACAGAGAGTATATTGGACTGGAGAAAAAAATAAAGTGCTTTGATTGTCAGTGTTATCAGGTCATTGGATTGCTGTCCTCTTTCTTTTAACAATGTGAGAGCAAAATGATAATAGTTAGAAAGTGGAGATCTGTGGGCTGGGAGCCAAAAAGGTCAGGAGAGCTCCTTGCCCACAGTGCAGCTGGGAAGGCCCTTGTGACCTTCCCAGTGGAGGGAGGAATGGAGTGAAGGAGGAGTCTCACCCACAGCCCTGCTCACAGGTCACCGGCCGCTTGGGGTTGTGCTCACAGTCACTGAGGTGGGACATGAGGTTGTCCAGCCTGACAACAGCACTGCAGCCGAACACAGCGTTGTCACAGGCGATCTGCAGCTTTGACAGCATGTTCCGCATGATCCGAGGCACGGGGCGCAGGTGGGCGACCGTGACAACACTGCGGTCTACGGGACACGTTTGCTGCTGGGAGAACCACTGCGTGATGCAGGCATTGCAGAAGGCGTGCTCACAATGAGGCGCCTAGAAGGGACAAGAGGGGCAAAGGGGACACAAGGAAATTAGGAGGCGCTGAGAGGGCCTGGATTCGACAACAATGAGGTTAATTACGGCTCAGAGCAGATTCTAGGACCACAGGTCCAGGGCTCAAAGTAGGTGGCAGATCTGTCTGAGGCACGGTATTTTCAGGTCAGGGTTCCTGTGCTCCAGAGTGCAAAGGAGTTGTGAGACAAGATAAACAAGCAGAAGGTTATGTAACAGTAAGACACATAAATAACATTCCAGGACAATAGGGCGACAACACAAGGCAGCCAGTTACTAATTGCTGACAGGGCTGTATATCATAAGTCCAGAAGAAGGTAAGTTCTTTCCAGGCAAGGTTGATGAGACCACAGCAGATGCTTACAGAGAGGCCAAGTTTTATACACAGGTCTTGAAGAATGACTCAGATGCCACTTAGAGAAGGGCAGAGCCTCACTAAGCACAGCCAAAATTAAGAGAGTGTGTGTGTGTTGATGAATACATTTGCAGTTCATGGAACTCAAGGGGCTCAGCAGCTGCAAGAATCAGTTCTCTGCTTTTACCATGTGGATCTCAGGAATCATGGATCTCAGGAATCAAACTCAGGTCTTCAGGTTTGTTGGCAAGTACTTCTGTCTGTTGAGTCACCTCAACATCATCATTTGTTTTCTGAGGCAAGGTCTTGACATCTAGGGCAGGTGCTTAACAAGACTTCTGTAAGCCACAAACAGCTTTTTAACTCTTAACTTTGGCTGTGCTTATAGGTAGGTGTCACCACATTTGGGCCATCTTAAAGTCTAAACATACTATCTAAGAAAAAAGTTTCTAACTCTGTTTTCTTTTCTCCGTCTTTTTTGCTTCTAACCAGTTTAAGCTCCTACGGTATCATCTCTTACCTAATTTGTCAAGTATGCTTTCCAACTGGTTTCTCTTGCCTCTATTATCAGCCTATCAGTCAGAACAATCACTTCAAAGTACAAACTAGGGCTGAGGTGATATCTCAGTGGTAGAAAACCTGTTTAGCAAGAACAAGGCCCTGGGTTCCATTTCTAGTACCAAAAAAGAAAAAGTGAGTTAGAGCCCTTCCTTCCCTCTACTTACTTGCATTCTTCTATAAAGTACTAAGTAGGGAGGAGCTGGTGAGATATCTCACAGGACAAGGATACTTGCTGCCAAGCTGATGACCTGAGGTCAATGCCCAGGACTCATGCTGTAGAAAGAGAACTGACTTCCGTAAGTTGTCCTCTGACCTATGTGTGCATGTGTTTATTAAATTTATTAAATGTAAACTTAGTGAGGATGCTAACTAAAGGGATACCAAGTGAACTAATGAAGGATGGACACCCACAGGCTGGGCATGGCAGCATGCATACAATCCTCAAGAGCTGAGCTGATGTAGGACACAGTGTGGAAGGAGAGGGTGACTCCCTAGGTGTGCTGCCTTCTACAAACACACCACAGCACATGCACACACACAGATATTTTTTTTAAATTTATCTTAAAAAATATTATTGTGTGCATATGGGGGGGGCACAAAATGGAGGAGTGGAACAGGGAGACAGGCAGGTGCCACAAGATCCAGTATTGAACTCAGGTCACGTTTGCTTGCCAAGAGCTTTTACCCACTTAGCCATCTCACCAGCACACAAAGGTGAGTCCTTAGACGTGAGATTCTCTTGCTTCTTTCTCTCAACACGTTTAACCAGACTGACTTTTTAAAATTTCATTTATTTTTATTTTATGTGTGTAAGTGTTTTGCCAGCAAGTTATATCTCTGTCTGTGCATGCCTGATATCCTTAGAGGCCAGAAGAGGGCACTGGATTCCCTACAACTGGAATTACAGAGCTGTCTCTAGATGCTGGGGCTCCAACTCCGACCCTCTCAGTCAATTATCTAAACCACTGAGCCCTCTCTCTTGGCTCCTGATCTTTTTATTTTTATTACAATTTTTTTTTCATAGAGGATTCTGAGACGCCACAACTGGACAATGTGCAGGGAGTTAGAGACCTTGGAACACTCCCTCTTAAAAGGGATGTCTTGATCATCCCTCCACCCAGAGCCTAGAGAACCCTGCAGAAGAGGAGGTGAAAAAACTTTAAGCGCCACTGGAGATGGAAGACACCAAGGAAGCAATGCCATCTAGACACAGCAGGACTGAGGCACACATGAGCTAACATTCTGGAGGAAAGCATAGGTCGAAGGCAGACTCCAGCACTTCATAGGGAAAAATGGACCTGAGCCCTTCCCTAACCCAGATGCTATCTCCAATTGATAACCACTACAGAAGAAAAATTAGTTTTTCCCATAACCTTTAAAAATGTATTTTTATTATTTTTAATTATATATGGTGTGTACATGAGTGTGGGTGCCTGAGGAGGCCAGAGGTTTGGAATCTCCTTAAAACTGGAGGAGCTGGTTAGACAATTGAGAGCCACCAGACATGGTTGCTGCAAATTAACGTTGGGTTCTCTGGGCATCAGAAAGTGCTCTTAACCGCTGAACCCTCTTCTCCAGCTGCAGCTTCATTTTTTAATCATTTCAATGCATTACCCATTTGTAAGTAAACAGCTCAGGGCTAGGACAAGCGCACACAGGCCCTTGAAAATATGGCAACTATCACCAAGGCCACCTGCCTACTCCCTGAGTTTAATGTTGGAGATGGGTGGGTACTTTCTGACATGGGCTCACTGACAACCATTCATCTCTCAAGTGACCTGCGTTAAATGAATGACAGTGGCAGAAAGCAGACAATACCCGGGCCAGGCAGGAGGGAGCAGGATGCACCCTTAACCTCTCCTTACCTTCCGACCCCTCGAGACAGGGTTTCTTTGTGCCCTGGCTGTCCTGGACTCACTTTGCAGAGCAGCCTGGCCTCAGACTCACAGAGATCTGCCTGCCTCTGCCCCCTGAGTGCCGGGCTTACAGGTGTGCGCCACTGCTCCTGGCTCAGACTCACAGAGCTCTGCCTGGCTCTGCCCCGAGTGCTGGGCTTACAGGTGTGCGCCACTGCCCCTGGCTCACCTTACGACCTCTTGACACCGCCAGACACTTTCGTCACACCCATCTAATATGCCTTTACAGAACAAGACTAGAAAAACAGAAAAGTTCCAGCAATGACAGCTACTGCAGTGGAGTTTGAACTTGAGTCTGCTTAAATCTTGTTCCTTTTGGTGGCTAAAAACTGGAGAGAAAAAAAAAAATCAACTCAAAAGTCTCAAAGGAAGCCGGTGAATTGTCTAGAAGTAGCAGATGAGTTGATTTCAACAAGTATCCTGATTTGGAAAACTATATTATCTCAATTGGCCAAGTAGCAAAAGTAACTGGTATTTGCAATAATGCTCATAAAGGATGATGTCCCATGAATGTCACTGCCAGTGATTTACCTCACTACTTGCCTGGCTACCCAGGGAGTCTCAAACTTGTCCCAGAAGAAAAAATTACTCTGGGCCTGGTCCAATCGGTAGAGGAAATGACCTATTGACCTGGCAGCTTTCACATGAAATGCAACGTGCAACATCAAACCTTTTTAGTAGATCCTGGGAAGAAAGCAGAGCCCCATCTGTTGTATGTTAGACTACAGGCAGACAAGGGAAAGTGTCGGGAGCCGCTCCCGCCACTACAAGGTGGCGCCGGTCTCCTGCT